CAGTTCATTGTTTCTCCCACTATAATCACAGACTTTTAAGTTAACTTTGGCTGGATTGTGAGAATTAGGAACATTGGAAGCAGCCTTATACCGAGTCAGAGCATTGGCCTATCTAGCTCAGTTTTGCCTCCACTGACTGGCAGTGGTTCTCTAGGTCAGTGGTTTTCAACCAGTCTGTCATGGCACCCTGGGATTCCTTGAATGATGGTCAGGGGTGCTGTGGGCAACACTGGCCTCTGTCCCGCTTTCCTCCCTCCCTCTGATGCCCTCTTGCGTCTCTGCCTCCCAAAGGCTAGCACAGCTATTCATTGCAGCAGCCCTGGATACAAGCACCCTAGGCGAATGGTGCCTTTGGAGCTGGCCAGAGGGTGCTTCCAAAGCCCCTGTGGGGCAGTGTGAGGAGGCCCCTCTCTTTGGGACGGGGGGGGGCAGCTCAGAGACCAGGGGCAGCAGCTGTGGCTGCCTAGATGATTCCCAAGGAGAGGGGAGAAGAGAGGATGCTGAGGGAGCACACCACAAGGGAGGGTGTTTGAAAAGGGGTGAGAGGCTGCCCGCTCTGCAGGCAAGGGGTGACATAACTGGGCTCCTGAGCCCCACAGGGGTGCCGCAGAAAGACTGTAGTTGGTCAAGGGAGCCGTGGACCCAAAAAGGTTGGAAACTTCTGCTCTAGGTTTTCAGAGATGCCCGGGAATGAACCTGGGGCCTCCTTTATGCAAAACAAAGCTCTACTGAACTAAAGCTCTTCCTCCCTTTTATTAGTTTCTTCCCCTTCTCCAAAAAGACTCCTTTGAGCAAGAAGTCATTTAATTGAGGAGTTTGTCCTTTCCAGCAGAGAATTTCCTTGAATCACAAAGATCTTCACAAGGTCAGAATTTCATGAGGACTAGGATGGAAAAGCAAAGCTGTTCTACAGTTGAATGAATAGCAGGCATGCAAACCCTAAGCCACTTACCTGGAGGTCAGTTCCACTGGATTCCAGCAGGCAAGGCAGCTGTGGTGAAACCACCACAGGGTGAGTATTAAATGCTCAGACGTACCTCAGACAGCCAGTGAAAGCAGACTTCACTGTGTTGGGTAAGACATTTGAAAGATGGAGTGAGCTAAGTGAGTAGCAAGCAATCATGGCCATCTGCAGGAAGGGCAAGGGCAGTAGTCGTTCCCCCAGATGAGACGTACTCTCCAGATTCCCAGCTTGCATTAAAAAAACAGAAGCACTTGAGGAACCCAAGACTTGAGAAACGTCAACACTAGGCACGGTCTTCGGTGGTGAGTTGTGGTTTTGTTTTTGAGAAAGTAGATTGCCCCTGCCTTTCTGTGTTTTTAGCCAATGAATGAGGTCATAGTTGTGATAGACATTTGGGAAAGCAGATCTGGCCAATTAGACATAAAGGAGGCTAGAGTGAAACACCCATCGTCGAGGCCAGCCTTTCTTAAATAGTGTTCAGCAAAACCCTGAGGTTCCAACAAAGCACTCTAAGAAAAATGTTGTAATGATGGGCATGCGTCTCCGCTGCAGCCATGGAGATTAAGTGCACTGCTGAAGCAACAGTCTTGGGAACTATTGTTACTTTTATTATGGTTGTTATTTATTAAATTTGTATACCACCCTATACCCGCAGGTCTCAGGGCGGTTCCCTTCCCTTTTCTTTCAGGCTATTAGCGCCCAGCAGCACAGGCAGGGCTGCATGGCTTCCCTGCCTTCCTAATGCCATGCAGCAGAGCCAGTCTGCCACTCCTCACTGCCTTGCCTCCTTCTAGGTAACCATGATTAACCAGAATTGGGAAAATGTCCAGGAAAATCCAGACATAACGACAGTGTCGTTTTTGCCGATTTCCCTTAAAAACAGCTCAATAACGTCTTTTTTTTGCGATTTTGCCCAAAAAGCTCAACAACTGTGCCAAAAAAGCTCAGCTTTTCGTGTCTGGATTTTCACTTTTGGAAATATGGCAACCCTAGGTAAGCATCCCACTATCCTTCCAGCACTGACTATCCAGCAGCATGGCCCTGGGCGCAAAATTCTGAGAAGACACAAGAAGGGAACCCCCAGGACAGCTGAATTCCTCTGCTTCATGTAATTTATTCTGTAGTCAATTTTGAGGGATTGACTCTGCTCATCTCCTTATTTTTCTGTGCAAATCCAAATTGGTTCAGCAGATCTGTGAGTAAATGTTATAGTCAGCAATTGAAGCAATAAAGAAATTGACACAGGAAGCTGCATTACACTGAGTCAGACCATTGGTCTACCTAGCTCAGTATTGTCTACAGTGACTGGTAAACATCTTAAGATGTCAGACAGGGATTTTTAGGATTTCAGACACGGCACATTCCTAGTACTATCTAGAGATGTCTAGGATTGAACCAGGGACCTTCTGCATGCAAAGCAATTGCTCTAGCCACGCCCCTTCCCCCAAATGGCATGATGCTCAGTTGCCCAGATTGTAAAGCTAACAAAACAAAAAGAAGATAGACAAGGCAATTCCTACAAGAGATCTGAGAAAGATTTGCAAATGCAAATGTAGCCAAACTTGACATAACAGCACCTGGTCAATATGGAATCAGATTCCAAACATTGTACTCCAAAATAATCAAAGTATATGTTTAATAACACCAATTCAAGCCTTATTTTAATTTCCGCTGGCTCTGTTAATAGGGAGCAATAGAGGTACCTACTTTCCCATTTAAGTGTGTTAGGTAAGAATAATAACAACTTAAGTTACTTAGTGTTATCCTCCACAAAAGAGTAAAAAGGCTGTGTGGAATATCTGCCTTGTGCGTTTTAATAGTTTTGTACTGACTGTGTTTCAGACTGTGACTTGTTTTCTTTCTAACTCCCTCCCCCCTTAATGGCTCATTAAAAACCGTAACTTCACACAACCTAAATGTTCTGGCTTTGTCTACGGTGCAGGGTTTTTTCTATCCACAAATAACAAGTTACGAGGGGGCCAATGTGGTGCATTCTGGAACAATGTCTTTGAGATATATTGTGGGAGGCCTTCAAGCAGCAATTCCCAACTGCTTACTGCAATTTTAAAAGGTCTCCTATGAAATCAAATCGCGCGCACATGCCTACTGTGGCTCTGCATGATATATCATTTTGGATTTCTCTCCCAGTCCGCTTTTATTCAGGGCAGGTAATCCAGGTCTTTGTACGTATCAGAATTGACTGGGCATTAAATCCCCATTTCATTACAGTGGTACCTCGCAAGACGAAATTAATTCGTTCCGTGAGTTTTGTCGTCTTGCGATTTTTTTCGTCTTGCGAAGCACGGTGTCGGAAAAGTTTTGGAAAAGCTTCAAAAATCACCAAAGTCTTCAAAAACCTCAAAAAAGGCTACCATACCGCGTGCTATGAGTTGCTCCTCGAAGTCAAGTCGCAACTGTATTAACGGTGTTAAGAAAAAGGAAACAAATTTGCAAGACGTTTCTGTCTTGCAAAGCAATCCCATAGGGAAAATCGTCTTGCGAAGCAGCTAAAAAAACAAAAAACCCTTTCGTCTTGCGGGTTTTTTGTCTTGCGAGGCATTCATCTTGCGAGGTACCACTGTATTTATTAGAGATATCTGTATTCCACTTTTCTAGTTCAGACTGAGGTGGCTAATACCAACTTTTTTTATTTTAAAAAAGCACACAGAGCTATAAAGTATAGAAATACAAGAGATAGAGCCATCACACACCTTCAGAGGAAGGTGTGTTGCATCTCTGAATGAGATAACGCTCTGGACTTTGCTTGCTACACTCATTTTCAGCTGGGAGGAGCAAGGTTGGGTAATTTGCACTGGATGCGACTGCCTCATACAAGTGTACCCAGTGCAGAGGCTGTGCTCTTAGCCATCCTCTGGGAAGGCTGCCTGTTTCATCTCTGTGTGAGTCAATGCACTACACTTGCCTCCTTAACTCCTGAGAAGGGCCGGATTTAGGTGTGATGAAGCTCAAAGCTACTGAAGGGGTAATGGGGCCCTTTATATGTCCAGCTGTCCTTTGTCAACAACAAATTGTCACTGTTTTTTGTGTTCAATATATGGTAATTTATGGACCTAATAGGTATCTAAAGCCATTTGCACATAACAAAATATGTATTTTATCAAAGTAATTGTTGAACTGAAATACAATTAAGAAGTATATTAATAGTGAAATACAATTAAGAAGTATATTAATAGTGAAATACAATTAAGAAGTATATTAATAATGAAATAATTATTAAGCTCTAACTTAAAATGATTTTTTATTCATAATGCAAACACATTGGCATTTGGCAATAGCAAAAGTTCCTTTAGAAACACTATTTACAAAGACTGATAATTTAGTCTCTAGAAACTTGCTATAACATGAAATAATAATAGGTGTAAATATATTATGCAAACTACTAATAATTATAAATAGCAGAATGTAGGCACCCTATATATAGAAATGAGCAAACCAGTGATATTTTAGGGAGCAGGCTAGCAGACCATTACTTACATCATAGGAGCCTACACAACACAAAACACTGTTGCTGTATGTAGGTTTTATTTTATTTGTTTTTTATCTTATATTTTGGAAATGTATATCCAGCCGTTTTTTTCCTTTAAATTTTTTTTGGTGGGGGCAGCTATAGTTTGTTTAGCTTATGCGTAAATCGGCACTGCTCCTGAGCGTATTGACTTGGAGAGCGGCTTGTTTTTACTCCTGAGCGATCTAAAAAAACAATTTTTAAAAACCAGCTGAGATTTACAGCGCCCATTTCAGCCCAAAGTGACCCCCAACTTGGAAGCGGGAGTCTAGTCGCTGCCCGGTTTTATTTCGGGGAAGCAGGGCCACCTTCCCCAGCCTCCCCATCTCCAGGGCGCGCATTGTCGCCTAAAGAGCTCCAGGCATAAAGCGCCTGGCGCGGTGCATGCTGGGAGAAGGCTTTACCTTAATAGTTCTGGAGCCCTGACTTAAAACGGGCGCTCACGCGGGTTCTCCGTCTCCTAGCAACGTTCCGCCGCGCTGAGCGGCCTCTCGCGAGCGCCTTGCGTCACATGACCCAAGGCGTCATATTCGCGCGCCACCTCGGTACGACAGTGACCCCCTCCTTCTTTTTGTTTCTTGTTTTAATCCGAAGAATTCACTTCCGGTTTGGGCCTTGGACGGTTGGCGGGACCGTTAGTCGCGGGGGGAAGGGCGCGTGGGTTGTGAGCGCGAGTTCTCGCGGTGGCGGTTGTCATGGCAGCGGCTGCGGGGCCTGGAGGAGGCGAAGCGGCCTCGGCCTCCGCTGCCGACGAAGGCGGCGGCGGCGCGGACAGGGGGAGCCCCCCCGGCTCGGACCCACGACGCCTGGGGCCGGGGGGGCGAGAGGAAGAGGAGGCGCCGGGGCAAGGCAGCGCGGGGGGGCCGGCCAACCAGAGCCGCCCGCCCTCGTCGTCGCCGCCGCCCCGCGAAGCCGAGGTCACCGTGGAGATCGGGGAGACTTACCTGTGTCGGCGCGGGGACGGGACGTGGCGTAAGTACGTCTCCAGGACAACAGGAGCGGTTCCCTTATCTCCCCCCCCAAAAAAAAAATCACCTCCTGCTCGTCCCCAGGACAGTGGTGGCCCCGTCCAGGTGCCGTCGGTCTCCCCGTCAGCCCCATCCAGCATGGCCAGTGGTCAGGGATGATGGGAGTTGTAGTCCAGCAGCATCTGGAGGGGGCCACAAGCTCCTCGCTTATGCTACATCACCGAGGCTTCCATGACCCTGCATTACTCCTTATGACAGCTGTTGTTTATTCAAAGCTTTTCTACTACCGGCATTGTTGTTGTTTAATTTTGATTGTTTTAAACATTTCCAAGGCAATCATTACGGGGGTGGGGGGAGCCTAATGAAACCCATGGCAAAGTTATATCGCAAAGCAGCAAAATGGAACAAAATAGAATGTGTTGCTATAAAATAAAAACACTTCACCCAATCAAACACAAACATGAGGTCACTACTAAAAGATTCTGTTCCTGGTGGACATCAGCCGTCCCCTCAGAACAAGCAGCAGGTTATCAAAATGATGACCTGTGGCTGTGATCCTGTGCCCACTAACTTAAGAGTATACCTCATTAAATGCTATTGGACATCCTTTTGGGACGTACACAGGTGTAGCCAGTGCATACAGTATTCTAGTTCTTCCTGTGTTGTATCATTCCTTAAAGTAGCCTTTTCAGAGAGTACTGTAGAGTTTTATGTGAAGCCTTCTCTCTGCATACCTGCACTCCTGCAACATTGTGGCTCCCAAAATCAAGGGTATATAGGTTGGCTGCCCTTTTCTTCTGGAGTGCCCAATCTGTATTTTTCCGCAGTGTTTTTGCCACCTTTGGATCTGAAAGATTCTTATTAAAATACACAAATAAAAATGGACTAAGGCACTTTGGCATACTTCCATTTTGTGCCTATTACTTGGAAACTTTTAAAATTCTGTAATATATTGATTGAGCTCTACTGTCCAGTACAGAATAGTATATTTGGGCTATTCAAATGGGCTCTTGCTTTGACAAAACATGCACACCTGCATCCTTGACCAACTATTACAGGTCCTTTCCACTTTTGCAGCTTGGTTGTGAAGAGTTTGGCTGAGGTATGTCAGAGTGAAACACTGTTATTAGATTCTTTTTTAGTCTTTCCTAATTTGAGATTAACCATGTTGAGTGTTGACTTTCTTCCAGATTCTGCAGAAGTGATCCAGTCGCGGATCAATGAGCAAGAAGCCAGGGAGGAATTTTATGTGCACTATGTTGGGTGTAAGTATCTTTTTGAGGTTCTCCATGTCTGCTGATGTGGTTAGGAGGAAGTGTGAGATGCCTTTATGGTCCAGAGGTAGCCCACATGATGTCCCCCAGATATTGCTAGACTCCCATGCTGGCTGGGGTTGATGGGAGTTGTAGTCCAGTGACATCTGGAGGACACCACACAGGCTACTCCTGGAATAAGAGCGGGTAATTCCTTCCTAACTCATTCCAGAGTCCCTGTTACGTTTTACACATGCAACAAGACTTCTCAAATGTTGAAACTTATACTGAAATTACGTATTTTTCCAAGTATCTTACACTGAGCGAAAAAATTACCAGCAGCCTAGATGAATAGACAGATTTTTTTAAAATACTTGTTTTGTGGAGGTTTCCTAAACATTATTAACATCATCATTATTATTATTGTTATTATTATTATTATTAATTATTTGCCCAGGAAAGGAGTGAAGTATCAAATAAGGAGGTTAGCAGTTGCACTCCTGTGTTTTATTCCCTTTCTACAAGAGAAAAAGACATGAAAATTTTCTTGAATTTACATCCACTGCTTTCCTGAATTCATTGCAACTAGTGTTAAATGCCATGTTCTTAGAGGTGATCTCTTCAGTCAGCTGGACAGATAAAACACCTGAGAACTATTAGAGTGATACTGTTGTTAGTAGGAGGGGAAATGATCTCCAGTTGTTTAGATCAAGGAAGGATGGAACGGGAGATGTTTTAACCTTCAGCTGAATAACGTTTGAAGAAGCATCTTCGAACTCTTCTTGTGATTGGTGGAAGATCCAAGACTGATACATATTTCTTCTCCTCATTGCAGTCAACCGGCGTCTGGATGAGTGGGTGGACAAAAACCGCCTGGCCCTCACTAAGACAGTAAAAGATGCAGTACAGAAGAACACGGATCAGTACATGAATGAACTGTCTGAACAGCCAGAGCGCAAGATCACTCGGAACCAGAAGCGCAAACATGACGAAATCAACCATGTGCAAAAGGTGATGCCATAGGATACACGGCTGGGGAGATTGAACTGTGCTCTACTACAGAGTGTCAGTTCCAAGGCTGGAAAAACCCAGGGTGTCTGGTTGTACCTCTGGAGCTATTCCTAACATCAGTTTGGCACTAGGGGATAGCATTTTTAGGGAGTCTTGTCCAATTAGGAATTGAACACTTGGCCACCTTGCTGTCTTTTTCCATTGCAGACGTATGCCGAGATGGATCCCACCACAGCAGCTTTGGAGAAGGAGCACGAAGCAGTGAGTATTCACTAGCACTTGACCTGTCTTGTTGCCAAAATTAGGTAGAGAAAAGAGCACAGCTGTGTTTCGTGGCTCCAGCTATATTTCTCTCTCCTCAGATCACCAAGGTGAAATACGTGGACAAAATCCATATTGGGAACTATGAGATTGATGCTTGGTATTTCTCGCCATTCCCAGAGGACTATGGGAAGCAGCCCAAGCTGTGGATCTGCGAGTACTGCCTCAAGTACATGAAATTTGAGAAGACTTACCGCTATCATCTGGTATGCAAAGGGAATGGGTGCTGTTGGGGGTGTGGGGATCGAGGTGTATGAATAGACCTGCCTCCTTAGTTAATGTTTTTATTGATGGGCCACCCTGAAGATATCAAGAGCTTCAGAATTAATTTATTTAAAGTGTTTCTATGCTTTTCAGGTGGTGGACTTCACAAAGCTGTTTAAATAAAAATATTAAAACAATAAAGATCCATAACATTTGAATAATAAAAATTAAAAAGACATGGGTGAAGGAAACCCTTTTTTAAAAAGCCTGTTTCTGCTTCTTTTTTCTTCCATCCATAGAAGATGGTTTGTCAGAAGCTGCTGCATTGGTAGTTGAGGAAGGGAGAGACCACAACGGGGAGCTGGATGTTGGTAGCTTACCAAGCTGTTGCTTTTCCCCTCCCCTCAGAAGGATATTATTCAGTTTCAATAATTCTAATACTTATCTATTCATGTGTTACAACTAGGAAAACTAAATGAGCAGTACCAATCTCAAATAAGAAAAGTAGAGGCTGTTGGCCTTACCAGAACCCAGACAATTGGGCATTTAAGTATTGAGCAGCCCAAGCAGTGGAATTGCTCAGAAAAATGCAGATTCATCTCTCTCTCTCTCGTTCAGGGACAGTGTCAGTGGCGGCAGCCACCAGGGAAGGAGATCTACCGCAAAAACAACATTTCAGTGTATGAGGTGGATGGCAAAGATCACAAGGTAGGGGTCCCAGCTTTTGTTTTTGTTTTCTGCTACATCAGGAACCTGTTAGTTGCTATCCAACCTATCTTGCAAATAATTTCAGAGCCGTGCCTCTACAAATGTGAGCCTAATCTCTCCCAACGGGCTATGAATAGTCATTAACATGTAAGCTCCTTCCAGAACTCCTCTTACTGTATCTTTGTGATTGTGGCAGCTTTTGGTTTCTTGATTTGGGAAGACTTACATGGGCAAGGTTGGAGCACTCACATATAGAAAAGATTTCCAGTAATGGGGCTGAGAAGGGAGTGATCCAATATAGAAACAGCTTTATCCAATCCTACTGGTCACGTGATATTGAGGGCCATCGCTGCCTACGTGATGGATGGAAATTTTAGGTTGCTTACAGAGTGCTCAGTGATACCCTAATTACAGGCAATAAAATAGCTGAGAGCAAGCAGCACCAATATTGTGACAGACCATTCACCACAAGGCCTGTGAGGTATGCCAGAGAACTTTTAACATGGAAATGGCCCAGAAGATCAACTTTCTCATGTAGAGCCTTGCATCTGACCCTTAGCTTGGTTGCTAGGCTTGAAAACATCTAAGAGTACAGACTTTTGCAAGTTCAGACATTGCAATATGTCCTCTTGATTTTTTGATTTTTTTATGTGTGTAACTTAATAAATTGGGGAGATTTGATTTGTAACTTCGTTGAGGATTTTCTTAGAACAAAGTTGCAGGTTGAAATGAAATAATGTTTTCCGGGAAGATGAGGTATTTAAAGGTTTTGGGGGTATCCTCCATAGGGCACCTCTTTTCCTGGATTGGGAAATGAACAAACACTCACCATGTTCTTCTTGCTGCTGTGCTCTATTTATTTACTGGTGTTTGCTTCTCTCCCCCAGATTTACTGCCAGAATTTGTGTCTCTTAGCCAAACTGTTCCTAGACCACAAGACTCTCTACTTTGATGTGGAGCCTTTTGTCTTCTACATTCTCACTGAGGTCGACAGGCAAGGCGCTCATATTGTCGGCTACTTCTCCAAGGTGATGGCCTGGCATAGGATGAGTGTTGGGAGAGGGTTCTAGCTGAACTTTAGAAGGGGTGTGAAAAGGAGGAGGAGCAGTCATGATACTACTTTTCTTAAAACTAAATTCTGATTCTAGTAAAAATGAAATTCTCATACGGCTGTTTATTTTGTATTACTTATTTCGCTTCTGCCATGGATGAGAGGAGGGCGATTGTGTGCTGGAAATCATCCTCATCCTCCTTTTGAGTTCTGAGATATCACCAAAGTTACCTGTTTGCTAACAGACTCAAGATAGTTCACAGTGTAATGCCTTACAGTTGAATAGATGTAATTCCAAAGAGACGATGGGTGGGGTGAAAGAGGAAAGTGAGTGAATTTAAATACTATGGCCACTAGGGGCGGAGAGATGCTGACACTTGCTTCCTGCTAGCCCAATAGAATAGCTTTGCTGTATCACCTCTCTCACTAATGTAACCAGGTGAAATGGCTGCTGGTGAGAACAGATCTTGCTTTCAAAACAGTGAAAGCTGTGGTACTTAGGATGCATGAATCCTATGCCCAGTACAATATTCCCTGCTCCCTCGTTTCACTTCTTTGTTTGATTTTCTGCCACCAGGAGAAGGAGTCACCAGATGGCAACAATGTTGCCTGCATCCTCACCTTGCCCCCATACCAAAGAAGGGGCTATGGGAAGTTCCTCATTGCTTTCAGTAAGTTTGATTCTTTCAGTCATGTGCGATAACCACCAAAAGAAGTAGCTTCACAACCTCTTAATCTCTTCTAGTTGCTGGAAATGAGGATAGTGCCTTCCCTTAACCAGAACAGACTAGAAGTAACTTGTGCAACATACGCCCGTGTATTCCACTTCAGTTAATCTGCTATAATTTGGCTTCCTCTGATTCTGTCCTATATCACCAGATGGAATAATGTTTTAAACTGTAATTGCTTTCAGAAAGTTATAACTGCCTTAGAATGTTTTTGTTTTTTGAATAGATAATACTTAATAGTTAATCTGAATTAGAACTAGAATTTCCACCCTTAAAATTGCACTAACTAAAAGTGGGGAGGAATCTGCTCTTTTTAACATGTTGACACCTCCCACACTCTTGGTTAAGTTAAAGGGTTTTAGGGGTAACTGAGTATGTGCCCTAAGATCTTCTGGAGGGCTCAGTTGAGAGTGAGCTTTCTTTACTGGGTCTGAGCTTTACCCGGGAGAAGCAGCTGCAAACGTATAGCTCTTGAGATGTCTGAATTCTGAGTTGTGACTGCTTCTTGACATTAATACTAAAGCTCTTGTTCCTCAGGCTATGAGCTCTCCAAACTGGAAAGCACGGTGGGCTCCCCAGAGAAGCCACTCTCAGATCTAGGCAAGTTGAGCTACCGTAGCTACTGGTCGTGGGTCTTGCTAGAGATCCTCCGGGACTTCCGAGGTACCCTCTCCATCAAAGACCTCAGGTGAGAAAAAATCCATCTTGCTAGTAAGATGTGCTGTTTTGAGTAACAGTGCCCTCTAATTCCTCATCGTTGCTGAGAAACACATATGCTTCTGTGATATTCTATTATGTGCAGTCCTGAGTGTTTTTCATATGACCTCCCAGTTAAAATTGCCGGTCGATGACCTTGCCTTGTTTTTCACTCCCCTACCCATTGCTTTCCCCCCACTCCCTGGTGCAGTCAGATGACAAGCATCACGCAAAATGACATCATCAGTACGCTGCAGTCTCTGAACATGGTCAAGTACTGGAAGGGGCAGCATGTCATCTGCGTCACACCCAAGCTGGTCGAGGAGCATCTCAAAAGTGCCCAGTACAAGAAGCCTCCCATCACAGGTACCATGGGAAGGGCAGTAGTTGTATCCTAGACCTGGCGGTGATTTACAGGAGTCTTTTAATCAAAAGCAAAGAATTGGCAGCCTAATTCAAATCATTATGTGGCATATAAGACCTGCCCAAACCCCACTCTCTTGGATCTTACTGTTGTCTTTTGAGTTGTCAGGTCACAATGGCAGAATTGCCCTCTCAGGGTTTTAGAGTTGCTAGAGCTTTTGATTCCTTGTACACAGGCTGCAGTCCTCCAAACATCCTGGTTTTGCTGACTTCCTAACAGTCTTGCACAGTCCCAGCTCTTTCTTTTTTGGCTCCTTTCTTCAGTTTCATGTTTTCCCCCTACACATTAAAGTTCTTCTCCTTTAGTACTTTGAGATAATCAGAGATGGGCTTGGTGCATACTTCAATCTCCTGCCATTTTCCTTATGCCTTATTCTTAATCTTGCCAAGTCTCACCTCATTTTAGTCTCCTTGTCTTTGAGTTCCTCGTCCTTTTTGGCTTCCCTGTGACTTGGAACCTCCTCCCAGTTTTGCCCTGCCCTGTATGAGGTTTTATTGCCATTCAAACTGACAACCTCGTTTTCTCTCAGAAGTTGGACTGAAAACTGCTTACATAAGGAGCTAAACATTCCATTCTTTGTCACTCCACCACCTCAGCCAGTCTCGTCAGCTGCTTCACTTTAACAAGCACAATACAATACATATGAGAGTAGCTTATATTGCATGTCTGTCTGTAGGATCACCATAAGAGCATGCAAATATTGGGACAAAAATTGACAGCAAGATATTATCAGTCCGTCCCCCCCCCCCAATCTTGTTTCAAGTCTTCAAAATATGTGGATGCTGACTGGCTATTTCAGAAACCATAGAATGGAGATGTTTGTGACAAAGAATTAACGTGTTTCTACTTGTCCCTTTCAGTTAATACTGTATTCTTTCCTGTTACAACTGAGCTGGGAAATAGCATGTCTAATTCCACCCCTTTCTGCTGCTGTAACATTTGCAATAAGATGTTCATATTCCTTGGAAGCTGAATCACCAGTGCAACTTAAATGCGGACAGGCTTAACTACTTTGCTTAATCAATTCTGAATGCAAACTTTATAGAGTATTTGTCTCCCCTCTCCCCATGTACAGTTCTCTACATTTAAATCTGTTCCCGGGATAATTGGGTAGGATCCAACTAAATAGATCCACTAGCGCAAGGGCTTCCCTCTCCCCATGCACCTTCCGTGCCCCCCTGATTCTCTACTGGGGATTCACCCTAAGCCTCTGGAGCAGACATGGGGAAGAGTGGAGAGAAGAGGGAGGGGAATATCCTTTGTGCAGCCAAAAACTAGTTGGATACCACCCATATCCTGCTTTTGCTTTGTTCATTCTGTCATGGAGTGTGCCAGGCATTGCCGAGTGCAAACACAGAACCACCTTGTGAGAGTTCAGGAAGTCAGAACCACTTTCAGTGGTTTCAGGTTTTGATCCCTGCTGAAAGAAGCATTGTTTGCCCCGGTGGGGCTGCTGACGTGCCAGTCAGTGCCAGTTATGTAAGAGGAGCTGCAGACAGAGTGCCAGTTTCTCCTTCTGAGCCTCTCTCTTTTTTTAAAGGAGCTGCTCGCTGTCAGTTGTTGCAGATGAACAATCTGCAGGGTGGGGCATGAAGGCTGATTATCAGCCACTTACAAGATAAGCTGGAGTATCATTTGCTTCCATGAAATGCAGTTGTTTCCAAGATGGGTAGAACAGCAAACAGGCTCTCATAGAAGCTAAAATGAATTTGTCTCAGTAATCAGTATTTGCCTTTGTTACAATCCCAAGGCATCATTTCATTCATATTGGTATTCTGCTGCTTGTTTTTCTGAAGAGCATTAAAAAAACTCTGCTGGAAACAGTAGCGTTTTGAAGTGGGATAGCCTTTTTGAGAAGCTTGTGTCAGCATTCTTAGCTGGCTAAAAGGCAGCATTGCTGATGGTCTGCCTGTCTCAAGTGCCTGCTCCACACCTATTGACTTTGCTTTTCCCTCCCCTCCTTCCTTCCCCTCCAGTGGATTCGCTCTGTCTGCGATGGGCACCTCCGAAACACAAGCAAGCCAAGATTTCCAAGAAGTGAAGGAGAAACTGATATAAGCAACGGGAGCAGCTTGGCTTCAATACACATCCACCCTTCGTTTTAAGAGATTGTCTGAGGCATTCTTGTTGGTACTGCATTGATCAGACATGTCTTGGAACAGATGTTTTCAGGGTGGCGGGGAGAGAAGGTGTGTTAGCAGTGTGACACCAACTTTACTGTGCTCAACTAGAGTGAAGACTTCCCACTTCCTCCCCACCTCACCTCACCTCCTGTCCCTTTCTGATTCTGCATGGCAAACTCCTTCCTTCTGGCGAAACCTGCTGTCTTGCTCTCGTAGGGTAGTAGAATTGGTGGCTTCTATTTTAACCGGAAGAGGAAGGGGATACACACCTTCTCATCTGTTGTTTGTCACTGGCCCTGGAACCTTAGTTTCTGAGCTGCTCTAGTACAAAACCTTGGACTGCCTCTACTTCCATTGTCAGGCAGGTAGAGCAAAACAGGGGCAGTAAACACATGTGAGGCAGTATTTGGGAAGCAGTTAGTCAGCAAAATTGCAGGTGGAGGGGATTCACTTCTAGCTATGACCGTTTGGAAAAAGAAGACTTGATTGTAGTTGCAATTTAGTTTTCCGCAGTCAAATTGCAATTTAGATCCATCACAGTCAAGAGTTTTGAGAGTGGCATGCCAAAGGGGGGCATTGTCAGAATTGTGCACAGAAGCGCTTCATGCTCCCCTCAGCAGATGAGAGCACGACTGTGCAGAGTTGGGTTTGAGGCTGAATTTAAAAGCATGGATTTCCAAGAAACACAGCAGCTGAGAAGTCACTGTGCCACACCTGCCCCTGAGAATATCCCTGGCAGCTGTAGCGTAGTAGCTAACAGGGTATCTGTCCTTTTGGGTTGACCTAGTTGATTTTGATGTTCTGCGGAGACCCTACATGAAAGGGATGGTTCTAAATGCAAATATGATGGGGTGGGGGCTGTTACTTGCCACGGGGTCATCGTCTTAGCCCAGGGGAATGTACAACCTCCAAACTGGAGGAAACTGAACAGTGGGATATTGTGGGTTAGTTGGTTCTGACAAGTTGCCCTACCATTGTATGAGCTACCTTTGCCAGAAATAAAATGAGAAGGAATTTTCTCAGAAGAATCGACATTCTCTTGGACAAAGCGCAGTGGAAGTAATGGAAGCGAAGAGGGAGGCTGCCACTGTTCTTCACATCACCTTTCACCGATATGCTTGCACCCCTTCTACACTGGGACTAGTTCAAAAGGAAGTTGGTATCAGGGGGGTGGGGCTGCATTTGATATTATGGGAGGAACTGTCCTCATGATGGTTCTGCTACAGATATTAGATTCATAATCCATGTATGCAGTGTGTTTTCTTTTACTTTTCAAAAATATTTTAATTAATAAAACAACAAAACAAAGTATCTTTCTATGCCGCGTGTGTGACGATGGAATTATGCTGAGCACAGGTTTGGGTGGGGGAAGAAAGTTCTGGGCAAGGTGTGGAGGCTTCAGGCCATACTGGAAACATATATTCAGGTTCCTGGAAATCTGCCACTGTCTGCTTTATTGCTGTACTACCTGTACTGGGAAGTAAGAGAGCCAAAGCAGGCCCCTGTTGAGTGCAAGTGTGTCGTCTGATATCCTGGCATCACTTGTTCATGTATATGTTTCTAGAGTAGAAACACACAAAAACACACCATGAAGTGAGTGACCGCTTTAGAAAGTGAAGCAGGAATTCCTCTGACAGCCTTCCTTGATCTGTAACTCAGGCAATTCACCTTGATGCAGCTTCTGTTGTAGCATGGTGTAAAATGTACCAGGTGGAATTCTGAATTTGGTGCAAGGTCTAAACCTGTAGGGTTCAAGGGAGTGATAATTCAACAACAGCTGGAATGCTTAAAAATACAGCTTCACTTCTTAAAATGCCACTGAACATTTGCAGAATACCTTCTATATGCCAGATTTCTTTCTAGCCAATTTATTTTGTGGACTTGCTTCTTATTACAGGATTTAAACGGTAAATTATATCGGGATTACCATTTAGGCTGCAATCCTAAACCCACTTCCTTGGTAAGTGCCATTGAACCCAGTAGCATTTACTTATGAGTAGACATGGTTAGGCATGTGTTTTTTGTAGCATAAGCACATTCTAGTCTATATAAAGTAGTGACACAATAAATGTGTTGTTAATCGTTAGAATCATGTTTTTGTCTTATCATAATTAGTGTAGTGTTATTGCAAAGGAGTGCAGCCTTATCATGATTTAATTCCATGTAAGTGAAAGAACCAACAGCTTACTTTGTGGTGTCTCTATTTTACAGTAATGGCTTAGTGGTGGCTACTAATGCAATCCTACGCATTTTTATTGAGCTGTGAGCGTGTTCTGCGCAACTTACTGTCATGTTTAGTTAGGCGCTAATTTTTTTTTTACAGTTGCCGTGCTTAGGTGTCCACAGTATCTTTGCCAGGTGGATAGGGCGGAAATCAGGCTTTAGCCTTTCCTGTGAACTTGGCTGCCATGCCACTGGGCCAGCTGTAACAGAATGCATGGCTTATGGAGTGCATTCTGTCTGTCGCCTTAGTGACTATCTTGCTGGGACTCTGGTTAGTTCACTTTCAGTTCCAGTAGAAAATGGAGCAACTCCCATAAGCCTGTGAACCTGGTCTTATCATTATGCAGCCACTTCCAAAGGAATTTCCCCCCACCTCTGTACACAGGTATTTCAAGTGTTGCAAGCAGCCCCTTAACATGCGGAATTTGTCTCTGGATTCAGTCGGCGCTCAGGACAGCAGTGGAAGTTAACACAACTACTGCCATCACTTTAGAATTAGTATTTGCTTTATTAAAAACCCTTCATTGTGAGAGCAACATCTGATTCTCATCCTTCCCAATAAACAAATAGATGCTTACATACTTATTTTTAAAAGATGTGCAAATACAGGTTGTCAGGGAAGACCAATAATATGTCTGATTCGGCAGCAGCAAACTTACGTAAAGCAGTCCCATTCCATTTCTGCCTCACATGCAAGTCATGCTGCATCATAAATAAATCTTCAAGCTAAGGCAGGACATTTCATTTAGCAGTAATGTTGCCCTGATTATGTTTCCCGCAACTTTTTATCACACACACACACATATATATATACACACACACACACACACACACACACACACACACACATACATACACACACACACATGCACACACTCCACCAGTGGAGAGATTCATTGATCACGCACAGAAACATAAGTGAGGTTACCATTCAAAGAATCCAAGCCAGTCAAGGGAAGTTGCAGTCCGGTCAGTACACAAAGTTGACCAAGTCCCCAGCCAGGGGTCAAAATGTGGCAGCTAATTAAGAAACATGGTTCGGTCCCGTCACTCCATCTTTTCAGTCTTGAGCTTCAAGGAGGCATCGGGAAAACATGATGTCTTAGTTGCCCCCAAACACACGTGTCAAGGGCCGTAAGAATCCAGGAAGCAAAAAGCAGATTGGGTGCCATGAAGCCACCTGGAGCGTCACAGATCTCCTAGAGACCGATGCTGCTTCCACAGACACATCGCTGAGTATCACTTCTTTAACACTGGTCTTGATCCAATCACAGTGGACTACTGAGGCTTTAACACAAAGGCTGCGTCGGTTGGGCTCCCTAGATGACACTCCACACTACCTCCAGCCAGTAGGCCAGCTTGGAGAGGGGGTCCCCCCATGTCACCACAGATGGGGGTGTTTGAGGGTATAGTTTATACCCAACTCCATGAGGTATCGGAATCAGTGGTATATTGGACAATGGTTTGAACTGGACCCTAAGAAACAGGTGTAGGGTTCAGCTAAATGATTTGGTTTAGAGGGAGCCAACTCACATTCCAGGATGAGACCAGGCAGCAAAACCACTGGTGTGCCAGTAGAATCTGTGTGGAGCCTCTCAGGATTGAAGCTGCAATGGTTAGCAGGAGCAAAGACCGCAAAAAGAACCACGGAGGCACCCTGTTAGAGGCTGGAAAGGTTGGAGGGAAGCTGAGGGGCGATAACCAGAAGGCAGATCGAGATAAATGGATTTGGGTGAAGAATACATTGGTAACAACTGTGAAATCCAGGATTAGTGAGAACCAAGACCCAGAGAGCAGATCAGGACCTGGCATGATGAGGAGACAAAGACAACTTAATGTGAGTCTGCCCTCAACAAAGAGGTGGTTGCCATTCATGGCTTCTGCAATTGTGCTGAGGCAGGGCAAGTTCTCCAGCAGCAGGCCCGGGGGGGGGGGTGTCATAAATTAACATGTCAAAGGGAACAAAAGGGAAGAACGAAACAGCAAGCTGGAATTTAAGGTATATATACTAAGCAGACCTCGAGTGCACATTGGACTGAACCTTCGTGGCTTGGCGAAACCCTCTGCTCCAGAACAAGGCTGCCGTTTTGTAATCGTACCAAGAGCATCACATGCTTCCAGAGAGCAAAGCGGAAAAACCTGAGGCATGGCATGGCAGAATGTGAAATAGTGGGACCACCCACTTGAGCATGGAGTAGGAAGGGACTGCTCTCCCCCCGCTAATCAATCAGTCATTTGGCCCACTGGAGGGACGATTCATAAGAAATAGTGGAAGGTCTGAAGGAAGAGGACAAGAAGAGGCAGGCTGGACATGCAGGCCCAGGATGCAGCGCTGCCCGAGGCAGGGTTTGTCGGCTTGATGGGACGGGACCAGCCTGGCTGAGGCTGGATGTCATCGTAAGGTCCAGGCCGGCTAGTGTCAGGAGTGTCAGAGCACATGCCCTCTTCTGAAATGGGCTGCACATCGGAGGTCACTTGGCTGAGCTGCACCTCTGGAACATTTGCCTGAATCCAGTCGGCATAGGTAGAGATGCGGCTGTAGATACCAGGTCTGTTGGGGGCTCCACATTCGTCCCCCCAACTCACCACTCCGGCCAGCAACCAAGCATTGCCAATACGACAGGAAAGGGGTCCTCCAGAGTCACCCTAGGGGGGAAAATGGTTATTGGATTGGGAATAAATAATAATAATAATTTATATGCCACCCATCTGACTGCATTGCCCCAGCCACTCTGGCTTCCAACTAATTATTAAACCACTGTAAAACAGAACACATTTAAAACTTCCTTATACAGGGATGCCTTCAGATGTCTTTTAAAAGTCATATAGTTGTTTATTTCCTTGACATTTGACTGGAGGGCGTTCCACAGTGCAGGTGTAGCTACCGAGAAGGCCCTCTGTTTCCCTGTAACCTCACTTCTCTCAGTGAGGGAAACGCCAGAAGGCTGACTGTGAGCAGCTGGACTTGAGCTGGACTTGAGAAGGATCCAAGTGAGTTAAGGGGGTCTGCATTACCCAAAATATACCCTCAAGAACTATTCAACGTGGTCCCCACCTACATTGCGATGGAGAAACCCTAGCCCATCAGCCAATCGTAGCTTGCCAAGGCTTCCAGCTAAGCCCACAAGGCAGTTTTTCCAGAACAACCCTGGAATCAGGTCTCAATCAGGTGACATCAGCTGACAGGCAGGAGTTTGCTCCTGCTTAGCTCAGTTGGGTGAGCAAGTTTCCTGTCAGGAACTCATTGGCACAGTTGATCCCTGCAGAAATCAGGATCAAACACTCCCGCCCATCCGCTGAAGGGCAAGGAGTTCAATCCTGATTTATGACTCTCTTCTCCCCTACCCTGCTAGCCAACTTCAATAAAATCTCAGGTGGCTGACAGGTGGGTGAGTGATTTTGCTCACCTAGCAAATTTGGCCAGCCAGAGCAGTCAGGGAGGGAGAAAAAAGATCTGGTTCACTGGGCCAAAAAAGGACTCTATACCCTGTTCTACGTGGAATAAAGATGGCGCAGTTCAGGACTGGCAAGAACTGCCTCCAGCCTGTCACATGATCACTTATAGACACAAGTATATGAGAAGGGCTACAAAGTGCCTCATAACCAAGGGAAAAAAGGGGGCATAGTGCATGTTTATACCGTAAGAGGGGGTTCTAATCCATGAGTTGCTACAGCATTTTCTTTCCAGACATCTATGCAATGTATAAACAGGTGCTGGCTGAAGCTAGACATCAAAAGGCCACCAGCCTTGGCCTTTTGTACAGTGCCGAATCTGGCTCTCACTGCCTCGTTCTAAAATGCCACCCCCTTTCCTCAACGAACGGGCACCCCCAGCCTCCCCTCTCCTCCTGCCTGATCTCACCTGGCATGCATCCTTCATCCCCTCAGCAAAGCCAGCACAGATCATGTCGTCGTGGACGGTGAGGGGATCCGCAGGATCAGGGTTTCGCCTGTACAGGCACTTGCAAGTGTCTATCCCAATAATGGGCACTTCAAGCTGCTGCAGCGTCTTGGGTGTGGGGAGGCTTGCTAAAGGAAGAAACGAAACTCAGAGTCAGTGCCCAGGTGTGGAGAAAGGCCATCCTGCATTGGGGACTGGTAGGGCAGGAGGCCAGCAGTAGGTGCAGCCAGCACCAATGGCGGGCAAAGGCGACTCAATCTAATTTTGTCCCTGTCTTCCTCTCTGCCAAGTTCTACGAGGAGCAACACCGAGTCCGAGGAGGAGGATGCTTGAAAGTGCTCTGATGGTGTTTCCTGCTTTGCAGGGGGTTGGACTCGATGGCCCTTGTGGTCTCTTCCAACTCTATGATTCTATGATTCTATGAAAGCTGGTGCCACTCCTGGGCTGACTGGAAGCAAGGCTGCAGAGCAAGCGGGGCCTGGCTAAGGGCAGGCTGAGGTTGGTGGGGCAGCTCCCCATTCACTCTAATGGACCAGCCTCTTTTTGTGTCCCGAGTGGCTAGGTGTTTGCCTTTGCGTTGGGAGTGCAGATGAATAAGTGCCTGGTCATTCTGGAAGCCAGGCTCCCTAATCTGCAGCTACGGACTCCTTTCCTACAGCTGAGGCTCTGTCTGCATCAAGATACGGACGAGAAACAAAGGCACTCATGCCATATGCAGAGGAAACCACTTCACGTGCCCCAGGCCTAAGCCTCCATGCTGAGATATGAAGGCCTTTTTGGGTGGAGGGGATGGAGGAGAGAGATGGGGACTGAGCCCTGACTGCACAAGGGAAACATGGCATTACAGAGGATTAGCTGTGCCCCCCCCATTCCAGATGTGGTCGCATCATAGTGCCAGAACAAGTTCTGCCACTCTAAGGACCATGACTCCAATAGGAAAACAATTTCTTCCTTACTGGATACAAGCACGTTCCCCCAGCCGGTGACGGTGCATTTCATGCCGGCCGGGAAGACGACAGAAGAGGCGGGCAGGCAGATGGGCCGGATTGTTCGGCTGTAGTTCACTGCCTTCTTGAGCTTCACCAGGGCAATGTCCCCTTTAGAGCCTTCTTCTTCCACGTAGTCAGGGTGCTTAATCACTTGCTCCACCTGCATAACTTGCAGGTCGTTTGGGGGGTCATTCAGCCGATGGACCCCCAGGATGACATCGTAGTCTTCAATTTCACCCCTCCTGCAAAAAGGAGAGGAAGCAATATGCTCGTATTAAAATGCATTTCTAAGATGCAAAAGGAGGTCATTGCTAAGGGTCTAAGAGTACCTGTGCTAGGGATCACATATCCAATGGTAGCCAGACTGATGTCTTTAGCACATGGGGAGGGAGTGAAAGCAACAGTCTTCCATTTAATTCTGCCCCAGAAACTAGTATTTAGAGGTGAACTTTTCTTAATGTGGAGATTTCATTCAACCTGCATGGAGAGCAGTCATGGATTGACCTTGTTTATGACATTTGTATTCTGCCCCATAAAGTTATCTGGGAGGCTTATGATAAATAAGAAAACCATTTTGATACAAATAAGCCATGAAACCATAAATTCAAAAAGATAAATATGTGAAAAACAAAATTCATCACACACAGCCCAAATTAAGGCAATATATTTTTAAAAAATATTGAAAGACCCAGATTGCAAGAGTTATTTAGAAAATATTCTGAAACTAAAAATACCACAAATATAGCACCAAGCAAGCTTTACTAGGAAGCCTGCTCCATTGGACAGGGGGCCACTACTGAAAAGGCCCTCTCCCTGGTACAGGTCCATTCTACATGAATGTGTCTCCCCATTTTTCAGACGCGATCTAGGAAGGACTGTCCAAGTTAGAGGCACAGAACCATAAGAAGGGAAAGCAGAGACCTTGAAGTTGTTCGTTAACAAGTTAGCACTAGGCAGACACACAAGGATATACTGTACTCTATAGGTAATGATTAAAATCTAACATAGCATAGTTCCTATGAGACTAAGCGGTGAGTTGGGCAGTGGGAAGGATCGGGTCTCCAGTGCAAATCTTGCCTCTGCCATAGGTGATGTTGGAAAAACCATTCTCTCTCAACCCTCACTATCTGAAATATATATATATAATAGCACGAGCCCACCTTTCAGGGTCTTTTCAAATTTCACATACCGGGACGTTATCTTCTGGCAGTGCTTTGAACACTGCTCAGAAGCACCATGCAAATGCTAAAGCCAACATTTTTAGCATCCTCATCAGTAAACCAAGCTCTCGAATTACTCTCGAAGGCTGCAGGATAATGTCTGCATGCCTCACCAGCTTTCTATTATTTAAACCAGGCATAGGCAAACTCGGCCCTCCAGATGTTTTGGGATTACAATTCCCATCATTCCTGACCACTGGTCCTGTTGGTTAGGGATGATGGGAGTTGTAGTCCCATAACATCTGCAGGGCCGAGTTTGCCTATGCCTGATTTAAACTTCCTATCCAAAAGGCATTGCCTGCCCTCTTCCCCAACACCCACAACAGCATCTTATTCCACGGATGCCTTGCACTTACGCAGGGAAGCAATGTGCCGCTGTGACTAGCCACTGGGGGGCAATGAGAGACGCTCCGCAGAGGTGACGGCCGCCGCTGCTGCTGGTCAGGGATACCTGCCAGGGCCACTGCCCATGCTCGGCGTTCATGCCACCCATGATTCGCCCCATAGCGGGCACTCCACAGAATCCTGCAGACATAAAGACATTTTGCAGAGTGAAAAGACGTTCCAGAAATCACCCACATCACATGTTATTTTGTACACGACGATCAGACAACATGATGGGCTTGTGTACCCACGGCTCTGCATCCTATTATGTTTCTCCTTCTGTGTGGGGATGGGCCATGGCTCACCGGAAGGGCATCTATCTGTCTTGCATGTGGAAGTTCCCAAAGTTCAATCCCCGGTGTCCTCCAGGTAGGGCCTGGGAAAGCTTTTGCCCAAAATCCCAGGCAGCCATCCAGGACTCAGTGTAAACAATACTGAGCTAAACTGACCAAAGGTATGATTTGGTATAAGGCAGCTTCCTATGTTATTCGTTCATATAATTTATATACTGCTTGACTGTAAGAAGATTACCTGAAAGTGGTTCCTATATGCTTCCGGTGTTCCCACCATTCAATAAGAGGTAGAAAAGGCATTCTGAAAATTTCTCAGAACTGCATTTTTAAATATGGAAGCCTATATTCTCTTCATGAGAAGAGAAGACTCCCTGGAGAAGACACTGATGCTGGAAAAGATGGAGGGCACAAGGAGAAGGGGGGACAGAGGACGAGATGGTTGGATAGTGTTTTTGAGGTTACCAGCATGAGTTTGACCAACTACGGGAGGTAGTGGAGGACAGAGGTGCCTGGCGTGCTCTGGTCCATGGGTCACGAAGAGTCGGACAATGACTAAACGACTAAACCAACAACAAAAATATTTGGAGACCTTATATGGCTGCAGAGATGTGACTGAATGTGTATGCACAATGCCTACTGAAATCTCAGAGGCCACGGAGCTGACTGAAGAAGATTCCTACTGTGTTGAAGGCAGGGTTTTAAGTGTAAAAAAGTTGCTTTCTAGACTCTAGGAAGTGAATTTGGAACCTAAATAATAATTGGTATGAGCAGAGGAGGGAGGGTTAAATTAATATATGAGAAAACAGGGAAGGTAATCAATGTATGTCCATTGTTGACATACTTAATGGTGTGCAGTGTTGTTCTTTTTAAAAAATAAAATAAAAATTCACACCCATTCATGCAAAATTCAAATATCTTACCTGGTTGGGTACTGTTGGCTCCAATGGCTGCAGAGTGGGAGCATGAGAAGAATACTGTGAAATTAAAAAAGAAGTAGAGTTATAAAGACAAGTTGCAACATTTTGATTACAATGAAACAAACAGCACTTAAATATTTTCACATTTAAAAACAAAACAAAAAACAAATTACTTGAAAACTCATTCCAGCTATGACCTAGTTTGCACTTCAACACTAAGACGATCCTTAGCCTTAATGCAATGAACAAACATGCCACTTCCTGGAAAAGGATCATAGCTGCTGTGCTCCTTCTCTGCACCTCTTGTTGCTGTGTTGCTCTGAGCCAAACCATGGTTTGGCTTTTCATGTCCAAACCCAGGCTCATGGTCTCTCTTGCTCCAGCAAAGGGTGAGCTATAACCAAGGTTTGTTCTAGGGTTTACAGATTATTGGTTTGGACATGCTAAACTATAGTTTAACTCAAAGAAGTGCAACAGCAGAACCAACAGAGGAGGAGCAGAGAAGCTGCTGTCATCCCCTCTCCAGGAGCCTGCATGTTGGCTTATCTGCTTTAAGCCATGGTTTAGCATAGCACTACATATGAACCAAGGGACGCAGGTGGCGCTGTGGGTTAAACCACAGAGACTAGGACTTGCCAATCAGAAGGTCGGCAGTTCGAATCCCCACGACGGGGTGAGCTCCTGTTGCTCGGTCCCTGCTCCTGCCAACCTAGCAGTTCGAAAGCACGTCAAAGTGCAAGTAGATAAGTAGGAACCGCTCCGGCGGGAAGGAAAACGGTGTTTCCGTGCACTGCTCTGGTTCGCCAGAAGTGGCTTGATCATGCTGGCCACATGACCTGGAAGCTGTACGCCGGCTCCCTCGGCCCATAAAGCGAGATGAGCGCCGCAACCCCAGGGTCCCTTTACCTTTACTTTACATATGAACCAACATTTGTTTGATCAAGATCCCACTTTTATGTTTCTGTTTCCGAGTACTGTAATGTCTTTAAGAGTCACCAGGCCTCACTTTGTCTCAAGTAAACAAACACAAGAATCCTGTCCTCCACATTGATCTGTTACAATTCACTAAAACCCTTCCCCATCCTAGAGTTGCTGGAATATTTCTTAGAATTTTGGAGAAATCAAGCGGAGTGCTTGTTCCGATTGTATGATTTCAGGCTCCAGAGTGAATGAGTGAGAGACAGATTGCTCCCTCAAGGAGAAAGAAAAATTCTGCACACAGGACAAGGCTAAGTACAACCCTTCTTTTAACATGCTATTGTTTCAGTGAAATAGCATTCTGACTTGAAACCGGCATGGCATCCATAGTGGTGCAGCCTAAGAAAAGCTCTACCAAAATACCACTTGATTCTGCCAATCGTATAGACTGGCGCTTCAATCCCAGGTCAGAAAGGTCAGATAGTAAGGCAGGTATGTGCAAATGAGCAGTAGTCAGAAATTACACAGGAATAACCTTCCCTCGCTGCTGCACCTCCAGACCAGGAAGCTGCACCTACAGAATTTTTCCTCTGTTGCAATAGGCACAGCTTGCCACCCGGGGAAAAGAAAAAAAAGTGGCTGCAAAAGTCATAGTTTCTGAGCACATCTGGCCCCATGCATGTTTCATTTTGGAAATTACACACCAGGGGAAGTTGTCATGCTGACGAAGAGAGAAAAGTGATTTCTCCCAGGCCTTTCTGACGTTTCCTCCCTAGGCTGTACTTTCTACAACCTATGAGAAGGAAGCCAGGGTGTGCCTCTCTGCTCCTGCTGCCCCAGTTTCTCTTGCCACAGCTGTGGCTTCCCAAGGATTTGTTTCCCGCCCTGCTTGTCGGCCTAGATTGGCTTTCTAAAATCCATCAGTGTCGATGATTCCTGGGAGATGAGTCTGAGCAGACTTGGGAGAGCAGCCAGCCAGCGAGTAACTGAGGACACGGAGAGGGAGAAGAGGGGAACCTGAATAGGCAAATGAGAATGAAGAAGTTCTTGACAGTTTCCTCCCCGAAGGCATCATCAAGGATAAGGCTATATTTAGCCCCTCTACAAGGCTTGAGTTGTCAAGGCTTGCGTTTCCACACATTTTTGTTTTTCTAATGTCAGGCACTTTGTGCTTATGAAAAAATATATATGATGGACAGCATTGGCCATTTCATTTCTTGACTTTTTTGTTAACGCAAAATTGGGTGTCTGAGCAAACTCCCACTGCTGATCCTGGAGGCAATATATAGCTATCTTGGCTAGTAGCCATTGACAGTCTTATCCATTTGTCTATTCCCCTCTTGTCTCCATCGAAGTTGGTGAGCACCTTATGGCATTCCAAGGAAGGTCTTCCTTTTGGCTTCTGAGGAAGAATTGCAAACTTTCAACCAACTGAATCTCTGCCTTTTACAACAGGTCAGTATGCAGACAGGAATGGGAAATTAGTATTTCTATGCTGTCCAAAACTTCCTCTGCCCGTTTCTGCACCCTGAGCTGCAGTTAAGAGTAAGGATGGGGAACCCAGGCCCTACAGATGTTGTTGGTACTCCCATCAGTCCCAGCCAACATAGCTAATGGTCAGGGATGGGAGTCATGGCCCTCCACATGTTGGTGCCCTATAGGTTCCCTATCCCTATCTTAAAGACACAAGAGCAGGCCAGGTGGTTTCTTTCTGGTTCTCTGGATGATCAAACACTGGGCAAGCAGATATCTAAAACGCACCTCAGAGCAATATGGTTTTGTCACAACTAATCTGAAAACTGAAATGGCTCTTTGAGGAATAAAAAGCATCTTAGCCATTAAACCCCAGTGGCCTGTTTGTTGACCTCCTCTTTCATAATTAAAATATGACTTGGTGCCAAAGTTTACATGCTGTTGCCACAGCAAGTCCCTTGAGGTCCTATGAAGTCTGCATCATAAGTTTCCAACTTAGAAGGGGCCAAAGCTCTAGGGGCTGCTGGTTCTAATCTGGAAAGGGCATCTTCTGGTCAAGTTGATAAGAGTTTTGCGCAATTTACTTAATTTTTGTACCACAAAGGGGCTTATGGAATTAAAACAACAATTGAAATAGGAAGTATGCAGAATTATCAGAAGCACAAATCAATCGGAAGGAGCGGCAGATAAAGCCACATCCAAAGCAACATTAAACAAATACAAGTGTGGTATAAAAGGCAGGCTGAAACAAAGCAAGTCTTCAATAAACCCTAAAAGAAAAAGGTCCAGCAAAAATTCACAGGGAGAGAGTTTTGCAGCACCACTATTGAAAAGGCCCCGTCATGGGAACTCTGATACAAGTAGACAAAGAATGCCTAAGCCACATTTGATGCCCAAAGCATTTTTCTCTCTCCTTAACAGACATTTGCGGTTGGCCTCATCTTGTATCTTCCAGCTACGTAATGTTGAACACGAGAATCAGCAGGTTTTGAACTGGGCTCTCAAGCATGAAAACCCTCCTGCAAGAGGCCCAGTTGTGTTCTGTTAGTACTTTTGAGCCACCAACTCTGACCTCCCGTGATAGTGCTTTTAAGTGAAAACAGATAGCAACCCTCTAGGGGGCGCTACATTCAGCATGCACCTAGTCTCCATTGGCCCTCAAAATATCCTGGGTTTGGCCCAGATTTTGGTGGACTTACTCAGCTGAACTATCAAAACAACAACAACAGAGACCTCCACCCACAAACCGACACCAAGAAAGGCCCCACAAAACAAGCTGAGTCCTCATACACACACTGCAGCTATTTTGGCTCTGCCATCAAGAGGTTGCGGTGAGATGAGCAAGTAGGACATTTAAAAATAGAGGCAGGCCCAACTGGTTGGGTAACCTACCAATGACGTCCGAGCCTGCCCCACCCTCAGAGACAAAATGTCACAGAAAGAAACCAGCCTGAACTATCCTTGCCCTCTTGCTCTACCCCACCTCCTGGGGCTCAGCCGTGTCAGCCAGGGCACACCTGCAGGACACCAGGCAGTTGAAGGTGCCCTTCTCAATTCATCCCCGGGGCAAATTTGTGCCATTCAGTAGAGTTCCCATCAATACACTTCCAACATGTCACATTTTGACCTGGAAAGTTCCAGTTTGCCTTATTCTCTTTCTAGAGAACACCTTTCACAGCTACGTGACGGACAGAATTTCAACAGGCGAAGCTTTACGGGAAATGGAGTTGCAGTAACAAGGAAAGAAGCCCCCAGTAAAAATTTCTGTCTCTCTGTTAGGAATGTGGAGGATGTTTACAGGCCATGCCGTGAGGGATGTGTTAGCAGAGATTTGCTGAAGAACAAAAAAAGCTTTAGGGGAAAACCTGGAGAGAGGGCAATCCCCCCAAACAGCTCAGTGAAGACCAAATGAGCTCATTGGCAACAGACCAAGCATCTGTTGAGAGGGGAACAGGGAACCTAGGGCAAGGGAATGGGGTATCCTAGGAAAAAGACATGACTGACTAGTATCCTGAACAGCAGCATTACAGCAATTTATTGCAGGTTCTACAATAAACTTGAACTAACATGATTCTGTCCTGCATGCTTTGCAAGTTTCACTGTGAATACTGAAGCAAGTTTCTAAGAAGAGAGGTGCCAGGAGGAGAAAATACCACTCTACAATCCCAGGAATAGAGCCTGGCCATAATTCTTTAGTGGTAAGAAAGAAGTACTCTGCACATGCTCAGAGGTGGCCTTATCATGTTCTAGGGAATGGAGCATTGCTGCTGAATTCAAGTGTCAGAATTCCACCTTAATAAGTCTTGGTCAAATAAGAAATTCCAGACGAGAGATCCTGACTCTTGTGACTCTGTTTCCAAATGTAATAAAGGAACTCTTGCCAGAGGCTAAGGTCAGCACTGGACCCACACCCCAATGAACAATTTGCACAGATCATATTCTCTCCCTCTCTTACACACACACATATACCCTGAACTCCACTGTTCTCAACTGCTTGGCTTCCAGCCACTTTTCCCAAGGGTGTCAGGTTACAAAGAGTTTCGGGGTTGTTGGTAGATAGATAACGGAAGTTTCACAAGTGGGTTGCGCTGTTTGAAAAAGAGTGTTGAAGGAGCAGCAACAAAAAGGCTTTATGCCCTTTGGCTCCTAGGCCAGATTTGTCCACCAGCTCACTAGACCCCACTGTGTTCCCAAGCCTCTGAGAAAGGACTCAGCCCTAAAGTCTTACTCTTTGACAAAGGAACAACTAACACCAGCTCTCACTTATCTTGGAGAAGACAATAGGGTGTTTCAGATTAGAGTGTATGCCTTCCATTGAGCACCATCTGTAGATAACTCTTCTATATCCAGTTGCAACCTTTCCCTCCCCGGCAGAACTCCTGTGTTTTTAATATTTGCATGGCAGGAAGAAATTCAGCAGGTGCAGTCCTTTCCAGTATGAAGTCGCAGCACGAATTATGAACAATTCACTTATGCAGTTTCTCCTGTTTCCATTAAAGTCACAGGAACTCCAACAGAAGAAGGAGAAAAAACCCACCATGGCAAAGTTCCCTCCCACCTCCTTTACTTGGGACAAGTTCCAAGGAAGATACTTCTCTTCTTCCCCTTCCCTTTCTGTGTGTGTTTTCCCAAGACTGAAAGGACCTTTGTCCTCTAGGAATGTGGCACCTATTCCACCCCCAACCATGCATACACTGCTTTCAAGAAGGAAGGAAGGAAGAAAGGCTGGGGTGTGTTGTTTCAATTCTGCACTTTAAAAGGCCATCAGACCACCAGTCACTGTGCACACGCACACACACACACACACACAACACACCCCTACCTCCCCTCCACACATAAACAGAACCTGCTCCCCAACCACCAACTTAAAGGTGCCACGCTGGCTTGTCACATGCTCCATTATTTTCGAGGATTCCTTTTAACAGTTGTCATGGTTTCCCTCCTTACAATTTAACAGTGCAATAAAACTCATCTAGGGGTATGTGTGCTGATAAATTTTGGGGCGTGTTTGTTTTTTTTAACAATTTGCCACTGCTCCGGAGTTCAGTTTTAAGCTCTACATATGTCACGCAGTGATGAATTTTTAAAAAATGGTGCAAAGCCACAAGCCCCGACAAGAATGCCGTTGAGCATGTCCAGAATACCATTTTTTGTGTACAACAGCTACACTCAGGCTCTGCAGATCCCAGGTACAGGGGTGGCCAGTGCTAAAACAAGCTTCCAACCAGAGCCCATACCTCCCTTTTGAGATTGGCATATATAGCCACAGGTTACTATTGAGGAAGAATGAATCACTCCACAGATACCATGACAAAACGCCATGTTATCCTACCGCCACCCTAACGCATAACACAGGATGGCTCAGCTTGGGGGTTGCCTCGATGTCCTCTGACCAAGTCACGCAGGCTAGGCTATTGCTCCAAGCAAGCAGGTGGCGGGGAGTCTCAAAAGCCACCTCAGTGAGGACTTGAAACTTGGCCCCCATTGCATCGCACCTTCGCCACGCACACTTCCAGACAGCCCAACAGTTGGAAAAGGCCGGTTTGCAGCTCTTCCCCCTGGTGCTTGCCAAACCGGCCACGGCTCTGAAAATGGGAGCGCAAGAGATGGGAAACGACCGGCAGGCGAAAGGGCTGGGCGCGGGTGGCGGGAACGCAGCGCCCAACCCGCACCCCGGTGCTGGGAAAGGAGGAGGGAGGGAGGCAGGCTAAATCTCCGGAGACAGAGGCGCTTCTTTTTGCCCGGTACTCACCAGAGCCGAAGAGCAGGAGGCCCAGGCCTCCCAGCAAAGTCCCCATTTCCTTTGGTCCCCGGTGCGTCGCCGAGACCCGCAGCTGAAGTCAGGCGCGCAGGTGTGCGTGTGTGTCTGCGCGAGGGAGCGAGAGCGCGCCAGGTGAGCTCCTCCAGGTAGTCCCGCCGGCAGGTGGAATGAAGGAGGGAGGCTGCGCTCGGGACTCTGCCTTCCTCGGCTGATGGACAAGTTACCCAACCTGTTGGTGACGGGACGGGCTCCCAGCCAGAGCCAGTCAGCTGCCTCTCCTGTGGCTCCTTTGCATGTTTTCACCTTGCTCACCTGCCTGCCCAGGCTCGGCGGCTTCGCCCCGCCTCCTCCTCTGAACTTGGTGACTTTTTCCAGGCCCGTCACGCCCTTGTTGTCTTGGGGGTGGGCAGGGGGACTACAGCTCCCATCATTCCTAGCCAATGGGGCCAGGGGCCAGGGATGGTGGGAACTGTGGTTCAAGGAGGACCTTATGGTCTTCAAACAAAAACATCTTGGAGGTCCCTGGCCACAGGGAAGTTAGGCTGGCCTCCACCAGAGCCAGGGCTTTTTTGGCTGCGGCTCCAATCTGGTGGAACGCTCTGTCACAAGAGACTAGGGCCCTGCGGGACTTGACATCTTTCCGCAGGGCCTGCAAGACAGAGCTGTTCCACCAGGCCTTTGGCCAGGGCACAGCCTGACCCCCCCCCCTTTGGTAATCCGCACAGAACTCTAATGGTTGCCATTAATCTGATTTGAACTGATTTTATAATGAAATGATTTTAGAATGTTGTATCATTTTACTGTTGTTAGCTGCTCTGATCCCGGCTTTGGCTGGGGAGGGCAGGATATAAATAAATTTTTATTATTAGTAGTATTATTAAGGGCATCTGGGCAGCCAAGTACAAGTGTGGAAGGAGGCAGGAGAGGCCCACCCAACATTTTAACATAGGAAGGCCCATCTAGTTCAGCATTATTTGCTTTGTTCGGTTGAGGGCCCTTAAGGCAACAACTTGTGTTAATTTAGGGGGGGGAGGGGACCAACCAAGAGGTTAGATATGTAAATAAGAGGAGGGGGGAGGGGAGGCCTTCCAAGTGAAGCTTTTTTTCTCTGCTAGTGTTAAATAAGCAGCTGTGAGAGGGGCTACTGGCCCTTCCCTTGGGGCCAGAGGCTGGTCTACTTCCTTGTGGCTTGCAAACTTTTTTAGGCCACTGCCCGCTTGGTTCCATAAACTCAAACTCATCCCCAGTGCACCTTCTACAAAGCATTATCCAGAAGAGCATTTTGCACAGCCCACTGACAAAGACAACCACAATAATATTCCAAATAGTAACAATTAATTGCATTTATTCAAAGTCCATTTAAAGCTATTTAGTTTAGTTAACTCAGTGAAACGGGTGAACTTGATTAATACCAGCTTTTGAAGGTCTGAATGTTATTTACCCCTCCAACACCCCCCCTGCTGCCCACTTGTCACTTGGCATCTGCCTAGATAACCCTACCACCACCACCCACTTTGGGAACCACTGATCTAACCTTTTACTTGTATTATTTTAATCAAAAGTTAGGTGTGTTGCTATATATACATACACACACATATGTATACACACACAAACAAAACTTACAGACTATTAAGCATGAGATACTGGGAGTCCAACCAGTATGGCCATTGGTCAGGGATTTGTAGTCGAGTGAGGGCCACAGGCTTTCCCTCCCCTCACCTGCACATTAAATACTCCAAGGCAGGCTCCAGAACACCTCAGATTTTTTTGTCCCATGTTTGTTTGGCTATCCTGGGTGCTTAACACTGAATAGTGGCCTGTGCTGAGAGCCACAATCTGATGTAAAGTGTTTGGTGTCTCATATAATCTGTGAGAGCCGAACTTCTTGATGTTCAATTCTACCCCTTAAACTATTGTTTCTAGAATACTGTGGGGGGGTGGGGAGAAACATATACATGGGCGTAGCCAGGGGGGCAGAGGGGGGCAGCTGCCTCCCTAGATCAAGTAAAACAATAGAAATACTTAAATCACTAACTGACCAATCACATCGGTTCTGCCCCCACCCCAACAAAAGTCCTGCCTCCCCCTAACAAAAATCCTGGCTATGCCCATGGACATATAGTTGTATATGTTTAAGATGCCCAAAGCAAGGCTTTTTGATTCCCACAACATCCCTCTCAGATCAGCATCAAATGCATTTTTTTTTTTATTGCAGCGGCAGAAATATACTGTCCTGCCCAAGCTCACATTCGAAATTTATAGCTCAGGTGAGATTTGAGGTTAAAATATTTTGGTTGGAGCCCTGTCTTCATTGTCACAGTTCTTTCCACTCATGTTAACGTGATGCTTCTGCACTCCCGTTTGAAAGGTGAATGTACATAGTCAAAAGGTGCAGGTGATGTAAGCCTCTGTCATGGTGAATAATACAATAATGCACATAGCAGCATGACAAGACACAGCTCGTGCTTCGCTGCATTTTGAGTACTCTTACAATGACCACACTGGTTCCCATGATCACACTGAAATCCCTGTAGTACTGCAAAGCTCCCATTGTCCTGTGTGTGGTGGTATTGTGCACTGCAGCCTTGGACTGTTCCCTGCAGCACTGGCAAATGCAGAGTATTGAAGAATTTCTTACCATATTGCTCATGCCTTTGCAGGGTCTCACCTTCACACTAGTTGCCCACCAGTGCAATGCCTGCAGCTCTTCATGGTCAAATAATGTATTTCATAGTTCTTTTATTCATAGGGAACAAGTCCCACAGGGTTGTTGTGAGGACAAACAATATAAACTTTGCACATTGAAGTGAATTATCACCACCACTTAACACACACATACACACTCTGATCCAATACTGTCTGGGCTACTGGGCTGTCATGGAATGTTCCCAAATGGTCTAAGTGCTCAGGGGTAAGATATTAGCAATACAACATTGGTGGAGAGTGCAGTTTCTGAGAGTGAGGTGAAAGGCTTGTTTTGACTATGAGAAAAAAAAGCTTAAGGACCAGGAATATTTTTGCTATTAATAGAAATACAGGGAGAAGGACAGGATGCCTGGAGCAACTCAGAGGCTGACAGGTGCAAGATGAGGGGGAAGAATGGAAAGAGAGAAGTGCTTTGAGGCTGAGGGACTATAAATCAGGAAGGCAAAAAGGAATGCAGCAAAACAAAACAAAAAGGCAGGAGAGAGCGGCAGGACTGAACTTAACAGGTTGATTTGAATGAAGAAGACATCTTTTGAGCCACTAATCATATCGTATCACTCACCATCTTATCCCTCTTTTGTTGACTTGGCTTGTAACGCCGCACGTTCTCACGGTATGGATGCCACTTTAGTCCCCGTACATTCCAGGAGTTCCCAAGCTTTGTGTTGCTTGTCAAATGACACGCGCAAAAGTCTGACTCAGTGTCTCTCAGGAAGCGAGTGGAAAATTAAAGGTTTCCTGTCCTGCTGCACGTGAACTGGGGCCCATCATCTCGTGGGCGGGCAGGTGCCTCAGGGAACAAGAAAGGAAGCGGCAGGTGTCTTCTCCAGTTCTCCTACCTAGCGGCAGCTGCGTTGTCTGTAGGGCATGTTGGTTTTTGCCAGGTAGGTGTGAAGGAAGTTTTCTGTTTCTCAGTAATGTGATGGAGTGGTTGACTTGATTAGAGAGAGAAAACTGATTCAAATTCCTGCCTAGCTATGAGGTTTTGTAAAGCAGGCCTTGGCTCAGCCGTTATCTCTCACGCTAACCCAATCTCACACGGCTCTTGTGACGAGCTTTTTGGGGGAGATACAAGATTGTGATGTGATATGTATGAATTCTGCATCAGTTAGGGGTCACTACCCTTTTTGGGATGATGGACGCATTTGTAAATTGTAGTAACTTGTGGCAACACACACATATACCACAACCTATTCTCTTGGCTACAGTTTCTTTCACACCTTATTTTGGTGGAGGGCCCTGTGTTCACCTGGGAAGGCCTTTGTGTACACATGTGGGCAAGTGGGCTCCACGTTGGCAACTCCAAATCAATTTCAGGAGGAACAAGTCCTCCATTGAAAAGTTGATTCAAAGCTTTTTTTGTTTTCATCCCTGCAGGGCTGCTGTAGCTGCAATCACTTCATGAAAGGGAAAAATTCAACAGGTGAAGCTTTTATCCCATCACTTTCTTACCTGGATAAAAAAGCAGCACCTGATGAAGGTCTGCCTGTTACACAGCAGCTCAGATACAATGTGGGAGGGGGGACGTGATGACCATGTGTATCTTTTTTGCAATGCACAGTTACTGACTCACACTTGCATGCATGAAAGGGTTGACCTGAGCGAAAATTACCAGTGGGTGGGTTTTAGCAGGCTCCCTCCATTCTCTCTCTCTCTCTGCCATTCCTGGAACAAGCAGCAGCCAAGCAATGGCTCACAGCTGCAAGAAAAAAATGCATGAATGGAGATAGTGTCTGCAGACAGTGTCATTGTGTGGGTGGCTCCCCTGCACAGGGCACCAAGCCGAGGGGGCACAAAACTGAGAAGATCCATCACTGAGAAGATTCATTTGGGGTGTCAAATTTTAGCTTCACTCAGAGTGCCATACTACCAAAGATTACAAAATCTCCACTCCCACCCTGTTGCAAACAGCAGGATTCTTTTGTAGGAAACCAATTTCTTTCTTTTTAAGTCGTTTGGAACATTTTCTCCTTCTTCATTTTACTGCCAACAGATGGAGACGTGTTTGCTGTAACTCAAGAATCTCTGAGAATAAAATCTTCACTTATTTGCAATGCTAAGTGCCTGTCATTTATTCTAGCCTAGGTATTTTTGTGGTGGAAAGGTATTTAAAGGTGGACAAGGGCAAATGTAAAATCTAACCAAGTTTTAATGTGCTTCAGGCATTTGCCATTGTACTAACTCTGCTTTGAGAGAGTAAGCACCTCTCTTCCGAACTTCTGCCAACACAGAGCTTTAATTTCTTTTCAGCCTGTGTGGTTGTGGAGGCTGCATTGTTAAAGCGCTAACAAGGGGCAGTAATTCAGTAAAGTGCTAAACTAATCACAGCAGGGAAGGTTTGGTCTGGTCTCAGACATAAAAGGCCGAAGAAGTGATGGGAATAGCAGCACTCAGAGATGTGTTAACAGTATAGCATCAATCAGCACCTCCCACCCCACCCTCCCTCTCATGCTGTCCCCCACCCAAAACACCCAAGGAACCAGGAAGCGAGTAAATGGGGAGGGAACAGAAGAGGATGATGCAGAAGGGTGGGGTCTTGTTTCCTCTTAATACACTCATGCTAGTTCAAATAATCCTGATTCACATGATGGCATACAATCTCAGAACCGGAACACAGAAAAGCACATATTTATACAGCCTGTTTCATAAAATAGGAATAGTGCCAAAAAATAAATGCGCATCACCCGGGCAAAGGCTGGGCCTTGGAAGTCGCTTTGAAGCGAATGGCTTCAGCACACAAATAGATTTGCCAGGCTGGGAACCTGGATACTCTTTGGACACTCAACATAGCAAGAGAGAGGCCTGAGGCTTGAGGCTGTACTTGGCTTGAATGGCAGCTGAGGGTGGGGGCTTCTCATGTCCTTAGTGGCAGGCATAGAATCACTGAATTGTAGACTGTCACCAGGTGGTATCTGAGGCAGCGCAAGGCTGACTGACAGGCATGTATGGTGGGGACACCAGAGAAGGCCTTATTGGTGGCTGCTCCCAAATTGCAGAACTCCCTTCCAAGCCGAGGCTAGGCTGGTCCTTCTTCTGTTTCCCTTTTGCCAGCAAGCAGATACCTTTATGTCTAGACAGGTCATGGGCCACTAAAACTGGCTGCTTCAGGGTCTGTCAGTGGTGGGTGTTGTAGGTTTTCTTCACTTACTTTGCTTTTAAATACTTTTAAGCTACTTTGATTCTGTGTTTTTAATGTGGTTACGTGTCTTTTACATATTTATAACTGATTGGTATGCGTTTTTTTAGCTGTGTTTGTGTGAGCCACTTGGGCCCTGCACAGAGAGAAAAGTGGATATAAAATAAATGAACAAATGAAGCATTTGCGCTGAATACAGAAGGGCCCGTGCTCAGTCCACAGCGTCTCCAAGTAGGAGAGACCCTTGTCTGAAATCCCGGAGGGCTGTTTCTAGTCTGTGTAGTACTGAGCCAGATGGGCCAAAGTTCTGTCTCTGTATAATACAGCTTCCTATTATGTTCTGTGATTTGGCAACTCTAGCCTGAAATTAAGCCCTAATGACAAAAGTGCCTTGGAGCACATGCAGAGTGTCTTTGCTTCACCGTGCCAGCTTACTCAGTCTCTTCTGAAATTAGGGAGAAGACTTCCCTGTCCAATAAGGTAATGAATAAGGCATAAATAAAACATTTGAAAAGTAACAGTGCCAGGATAATTTATAGGTCTGCCGCACTACCCTTGCTCCTGTAACTGGTACACTGACATTTATCTAGTGGGGGTTTTCTAACGTCTCTAAGCCGAGAAAACATCCTTAATTTCTGTGCTTCAGGCTGATGTTCGAGACACGGCAGCGGAGCAAGTTTAAAAGGAAAAAGGAAATGCCATTGCCAATCCTGCATTTCACACGATTACTCTTTGGTGGGGTTACCCTACACCTGATCTACTTCCACAAAGCCTTTCTGAGGCTTGTTCTGCTCTGTGCGTTGCTATTTGCCCATGGCTCCTGCTGCTCACAGAAAGACAAGAAGGACTCCTTTGGAGCAGGCTTGCTAAGCTCAAACAGAACTCCCTTGCTGAAATCCCTGTGCAGCAGATCTGTTATCTTCAAATGTCAATGCCACCTGACTTCAGCACCGGCCGTCCAGCCTACCTCCAGGGAACTGGGAACAGTTACGACTGGCTCCTGTAGATGTGGGGATCTTAAAATTACCTTCTTGTGTCATAAATGCGAGTGAGTGTAGGGAATTGAGAGTCCCGAGGTGTGTGTGTGTGTGTGTCTATAAGCCCCCTGCCTTTACAGGTTCGAACTCTTCATTTCAGCTTGAGGGCCACATGTCCTGATGGGCAGCCTCCCAAGGGCCACATGGCGGCCAGAAGCAGGCGGGGCAATGGTATATTACTTTATGCTGTTCCCTAGTTTCTATACACATTCAAACAACCAACAGGACATTATCAAGAGTTCAAGGATGCAATCCAGCCAAGCAAAAACAGTGTGAGGCAGGACCGTTGAGAGGCATGGCCTAGGGAGGCGAGGCATAGTTAGGGAGGATTGTGACTTGGAAGAGAGTCTTGAGATCCAGGTAAGAGTCATGGGGGGCTGCAATAAACCCGTGGGCCTGATTCTCACCCCACAGGCTCCTCTCATGCTTCACTTCACCATTCTTCTTCCTCCAACCATGCTTGCCTTCTTCCCTGCCTCTGTCCTGCCTCTCTTACTTACAAGGAAGGTCCACCGGTTACAAATGGGCTGCATTACCCTGTGCTCTGTGCTTCCTGTCTAGTAGCCAGTCCATATATGGGACTGCAGAGAGGAATGTATTGTTAGGATACGCATCGGTTTCTAAATTTTCCAACCCGCGGCAGTGAGGCAACGTTTTATGAAGTTGACTTTTCCTTCTTCCCTGTGTGAGAAGTCATATAACTGCAGGCCACTGAGAGATGATAAATTCTCCCTTCAGGAGGGAGCGAGCCTCCCACCCCATGGGTTTCCATTTTTGTATGTGCTTTGTTTGGGGTCTGTATGATAAAGTGGAGGAGGCATTTTTCCGAGGGCAAATAAGGGCACATCACCAATTAGGAAGTGAGAATTGGGTCACACCAACACAATCAGGAGATGATGGTAAATACAAGGGCGTTCAGTGAGGGGAGGAGTTTCCCTCTTCAATGAACCATACTCAAATTATTTTATTTAAATTAAAGCTGGGGGAATTTCTAGCATTTGTGGAATCTGACCTATGGGGTACAGACACTATTTTTCTCCTTTTTGGGGTGAGAAACTAGTCTCCCTCCCTTTTCAGTTTTTCACTTTGCTGCTCCTCCTCCGCCCAAAAAAACCTCCCATGTGCGTCAAGTGTCAAGATGAGATTTTAAAATTGGGGATCTCCTATGTGCCACCTATAAGCTGGGACTATCAAGCCCCACCCCAGACTGAAGTGTCCTATCCCATTCTCCAGAGCCAGCACATGCTCCCAACAATACATTCCTCTCTGCATGTTAACACAGTGCGAAAACACATTTGTATCATGCACCCATCCAAAGAAGTTTGTCACCAACTTGAAAATTTTGGAAAGCTCCAATCTAGCCAGTGTCCTTTGATGCAATACTCCCCAGAACTCATTGAAAGAAGGCGATATATAAATGTAATAAGTCTTGGGATGGATTGTGGTTATATCATGTGTGGACAAGGATTAACATAAAAGGTTCTTTAGCTCAAACATGCCTGGGAATCTCTCCATTGCGGGTGGCCATGCTGCGAATACTCAAAAGGATGTGAAATGCAGTCACCCACCTCACATCTGTTATCACTGTTTTACACCTCCAGGACTGAAGTCTGGCTTTCAGGGCTGAACTTTGCTGGGCCCAAGTTCTCACTGTTGTTTCAGTACTCAAAAGACTCTCCCAAGAGGCTTTTACTCAAAATTACAGGTGGCACACCTCTGGGGTGGAAGGACTAAAATCGATTGCATTATTTCAGCCAAAGTTCACTGTGGCTTAATTTAAGAACAGAGAGTTCTGCTGGATCTAGGCAAAGGCAGTTAAACATCCTGTTCACAGAGGCCTATGGGAAGCCTGCAAGCAAAACACGAACGCAGGAGCTTTCTACCCCCTGCAACACAGGAATCCTGCGCACAGCCTTCACTGTGTGGGTTTGACTTTGCCTAATTCTCTTTTAAAACAATCAAAGTTGGATTTGAGCCCAAGCAGCCTTGGACGGGTGGCGCTGAGGGTTAAACCAGAGAGCCTAGGGCTTGCCAATCAGGTGGTTGGCGGTTCGAATCCCCGAGACAGGGTGAGCTCCTGTTGCTCGGTCCCAGCTCTTGCCCACCTAGCAGTTCGAAAGCACCTCAAAGTGCAAGTAGATAAATAGCGGGAAGGTAAACGGTGTTTCCGTGCGCTGCTCTGGTTCGCCTGAAGCGGCTTAGTCATGCTGGCCACATGACCTGGAAGCTGTAAGCCGGCTCCCTCAGCCAATAAAGCGAGATGAGCACCACAACCCGAGTCGTCTGCGACTGGACCTAATGGTCAGGGGTCCCTGACCAGTAGCCTTGGAACGTATGTAATTATAATACATGGGAGTATACTTTCAAACATGCAGAGCATCACCACTCACCTTTACAAGAGCAACATCTGAGATTAGGATGGCGTTTTCAGGTCTAAGGTCCTTACCTTCAAAGGCAGCTGCATCCCTATAAAGTTGATCCTTGTCTGCCTCCCCATCACCTTTTCCAGATCAAAGCCAGGAACCCACACAAGGGACAAGTGGCAAATCCCGTTCTTCAGCACAAACATACCTCTTTCCTTCACCCCAGGACTAGTGTGCTTATCTCCATTCTTGGTCTTGGCCAAGAATAACATTTTTCCAGGAGCCACTAGAAACTGGTTTTACAAGCCTGGATGCACAAAGACTGCATGCCAGATGGATGAATGTACCTTAAGGGAGAATAACTTTGGGTAATGATTACAAAAGCTGCCAAGTTTCTTCTGACACTTTGCTTAGTAAAGGTTTTATATACATGCCCACAGTGAGCATAAGACAGAAATGAAGAAAACCAGAACTTCTGTGTTGGTGGTTTGTAAAAGGAGTTTTCAGCCCAGCAAGATAATTTGTCCCAAAGGGAATTTAGCTATATTATTACATTCAAATTCCCTCTTACCCTGCAATAATTTGCCCTCTTAAAAGTCACACTGTGGGGCCCCCCTTATCCCTCCTGCAACCCTACGAGTTGCGTATCACTGGTTCCAACTTTGATGTCTTAAAATGTAGTAGCTAGAATGTGTTGGGCCAATTCCAAAATTATGAGCGTCGTGTATGACACCTGTTGTTCTGCTTTTCTTCAAAAAAGTCTGCAAGCTTAGGCTGAAGATACTTCAGCCGACACTTACTCACAAACTGAGGTTTACGGCCAAGCAGGTATGTGAACCCAGGTATCTGATCTAAAGCCCACAATCTGTTGTTACATCAGTGATCATTGCCACAACCACCTGCTCCTGTTGTTTTGAGTCTACTACTTAATCCTCAAAAGATAATCTGCCTTACCGAAATCCCCCTTACTCAGCCCTTAGTCACAAAGGGTTTGGTGGAATGCAGAGGGTTAACATGACAAGTGACATCACCATTGTTGTTACATAATGTCCAAAGGCAGACCGCACAGAAGATTGGATTCCCCGACAGCCGGAAACAGGCTATTATAGAACATCGTGGCCTCCAGTAATTGAATAGTTAATTTACACGGCATCACTATTAACATCTTTCAATCCTGGAAGACGGAAGCAATTAATTGTACAGATCTGTTCCCAGGCAGATGCAGCTGTCTCTAGGCTAAGGGAAGGTGGCTTTTACAGAAGGCTGGATGCTCTGCCCAAGGCTAACCACCTCCAGGGAGGAATGACCAGGCAACAGCTGCACACAGAGAAAGTCTGATCATAAAACTGAGGTTATCACTTGCATCCAGATTGAAACAATGGGGAGGGGGTCAGTTTCCCCCAGGAGATCTACTGTTGTATTCATATGGTCCAAGCTGAACCTATGCCACTGATGTGCCATGTAGAAAGACAAAACATTTTAAGCGTGGTAACTTGTACAGGGTTTCAGAACTGTGTCAGAATTTGATATTTCTTAGTTCCAGGAGGGATGGTGGAATGGCGCAGGTGCGTGCACACACACACATTCTCTTAAGTAGAAGCTGGACACTCAATTTGGAATGGCAGGGTAGAACTTATTCTTGAACAATGGAAGTGCAACAGTTGGGAATGATTTTAATATAACGGGGCCTGGTTGAGGGTAATGAAACTGCAAAGGACCACTGAAGATGGATAAAGGACAGAGTGAAGGCAGTTTCTGAGGAAAGTCTGCACTTGGGCTGTTGTACTACAGTGGTAGTAAAGGTAAAGGTAAAGGTACCCCTGCCCGTACGGGCCAGTCTTGCCAGACTCTAGGGTTGTGCGCTCGTCTCACTCTATAGGCTGGGAGCCAGCGCTGTCCGCAGACACTTCCGAGTCACGTGGCCAGCGTGACAAGCTGCATCTGGCGAGCCAGCGCAGCATACGGAACGCAGTTTACCTTCCCGCTGGTAAGCGGTCCCTATTTATCTACTTGCACCCGGGGGTGCCTTCGAACTAGGTTGGCAGGCGCTGGGACCGAACGACAGGAGCACACCCCGCCGTGGGGATTCGAACTGCCGACCATGTAATCGGCAAGTCCTAGGCGCTGAGGTTTTACCCACAGCGCCATGCAACTACAGTGGTACCTCGGGTTATGTACTTAATTTGTTTCGGAGGTCTGTTCTTAACCTGAAGCACCACTTTAGCTAATGGGGCCTCCTGCTGCCGCCGCACCGCCAGAGCACAATTTCTGTTCTCATCCTGAAGCAAAGTTCTTAACCTGAAGCACTATTTTTGGGTTAGCAGTCTGTAACCTGAAGCGTATGTAACCCGAGGTACCACCGTATTTCAGTTTACAGGTTGAGACTTGAATGATTGGTCAACCCAACACCAAACCCTGCCTCCAAGGAGCATGCTGGAGAGGAATTTCAGCAAAGCCTTCTCCCTGGCATGAGCATCCTTACTGCTTTTCGTATGGGAGATAATTTAGCAACGTGAGCCTTCATAGTCAAGGCCAGATTCCAAATTTATCAAAGTCAAGGAATATCCAAAGTACCTGTACAGAGCCCACTCAGATGTTATTAAAACCAAGAATCAAGCAAAATGGAAATACAAAGACTTGTTTGTGACTTTAAAAGTTTGGCTTTAGGGATCAAGCTTCATTGCCTGTTCATTTGAGTCAGAGGTCAAAGTACACTATTATGCAATGCAAAGCATTAATGAACTGTACTAGCTGCACACCAGTGTTAAAAGGAATTCAAATTAACTTAGCAAAGACTGGATTTAGTAGAGTGCAGTCACTGCTGCTTCAAGACTACAAAACAGCAGTGTTTAACACAGAGGATGTAAAAAAGGCTTTGGCCTTAATATCCAAGTTTCTGACAGCCAAGTACAATTGTAATTATGACTATGACATTTATATGTATTTTTTCTTTAAACAAACCCAACCAGCATTTCCAGGATGGGATGAAAAGAATCTATTTTGTAAAAATATATAATAAAATTAAACAGCACAAGAGGAAATTGCCTCCCCACCATGCTTTTGAGACTTTTGTATCCAAATCACTATGAATAGCGTACATTTCGATGGCATTCCATGGAGATTTCATCAACAGCAGTGTATACATTGAGTCAGCTCCATCAGTGTTAACAGTGTAGCTAGATTTGTGTTTATTTACATATGAAATTAGGCTTAAGCCATAGGTATGTGAACCTCATAAAGGCAAGGGAAGGTCTCTAAGGATGCCACATTGAAAAATTTTGGCTGCATTCTTAAAAATGAGAAGTATCTTAAAGGAAGTGAAACATTTCCACCCACCATGTACCAGCCACTGACTTGGTATGCAAAAATGCTTAACAGCAAAGGCTTATGTATTGAGATTTACCAAATCACGTTAAATGAAGCACTCACATGCTCTTATCAATTCAGACATTACTGTTCTTGAGTAGTAAGTAGCATGGACAACCCTCCTTTCAAAAACACTACCAGATGATCCAAGAGTGAGTTGTTAAAACACCACATGCCTACCATTAAACAGATTATGCTTTTAGCTATTGCTTGCTAAATCAAAACCAATGCAAGAGTCAAAAAGTGAGTTTTTCAGTTGAATGTAAACTTCCTCCCATACTACAACAGTTGAGATACTGTGCAGATTTGTTTTATAGCAATTCACATTTTCAAAATTATGTTAAAGTTGGAAAATTTATACAAATACAAAAGCTTTTCAAACAATGCTTTTTAAACAGTATTGTTACTTTTACAAAGTCAAATAAAACAATGTTATTTTCAGAAATGACTGAAAACATCTTTATTATTCAAGTGCCCTATCCCGCCCCGCCCAGCAGTTATACATGCATGACTAAAACATTTTGGCTTTTAAATGTATAGGATTACTTCCAAATACAGTCAACATAAAATAGAAGGGAATACAAAGTTTGTACACAAACGCAGCAAGGAATACACAGGTTTGCAACGAAGTTGGACATCATACAAAATAAAAAAAGTTTATAAATTCACATGGTCTGGGATCCTATGCAGGCTCAATAGGGTCTCTCGCGCCGGTCCTGCCTGTGGTCCCCTCTGCAAAGGAGACAGGAAAGTTTACATTTTGAATTTGCATATTCGTATTGTTTGTTATACAATAACTATCAATAGCCCCAAGGCTAGGCTGAAAACCCAGCAAGTGGATCCAACAGTCACAATCTCAGCCTCCCTCTTTCACTCCCCAGAAACAGAATCCCTAGATTCCTATTCCTGAGCCTTTACAGTAGCCACCACTGAAGTAACCTTTACCTCGAATCCATTTTTCCTGGTCCAAAGCTGCCTCTGTCTCCGCCCCTTCCGCCTCTGAATCCTCCCCGGTCTCCGCCCCTGCCTCCCCGGAAGCCACCTCTGTCAAAACCTCCTCGGCCCCCGCGTCGTTCTTCACCAAATCCACCTCCTGGGGGAAGAAAGCAGATTTGTATTATGCAACTATTTTGAAATGAGAAATGTGTTTTTCTCACTGATGCCGTTGTGCCAAATAGGCAAACTGTGTATCTCACACAGACGAGAAAGAATCCGCCAGCAAGGGAACAGGATATACAGTAATTGGTTTCACACAGAGAGAAAAGTAAAGCCTTAAACTCACCCATGTGTGGTCCTCCAGGCCCATCTGGCTTTGGTGCCTTGCACTGGTTGCATTCATTACGCCATGAGAAGTTCATATTTTCACATGTCCTAAAAACACATTTGGGGAAGACGGATGATTTAGAGTTCCAATAGTCATTAACCCCATTTCTACCTTCATATCTAAACAACTAAAGCAGACTCCTTACGGGTTGGGGCATTTCCAGTCTCCTGCACGTTGCTGACCACCTCCTCCGCTGGGGAAGCCCCCCCTGCTGCCCCCGCTGGAACCACTGCTGCTGCCGCCACCTCCGCCGCCACCAAATCCACCACGGCCCATGGGTCCTAAAGGAAAGAGGCATGCAAAAATCAGTGGCAGCAGCCAAGTGAAAAAGGATTTTTTGCAGAATGTTTCCTTGCTGATAAACACCTTGTATTAGGTTACCTTTCTTCCCTAGAAAGACTGCAGTACCCATACCTCAACTCCCCCTATTTCAGAATGGCTGCACAACACAAGTTGGTCCTCCTCCCTTGCTGAAACTCAATACAGGTATAACAAAAGCCAAAACTGCTACAAGCAACACACTTCACGACTTATCAACCACAGCAATGACGTGGCATATACCTCCTCTACCGCCACGGCCTCTTCCTCCACGGCCATTGCCACCACCACCGCCTCTGTTGAAGTCTGCCCTCCGGGTAGCAAATGATACTTTGATAGGGTTGCCTGAGAATTCTTTTCCTGGTTAAGAGAAGAGCAGGGAAAAGGATTACATTTTTCCGATATAAAGATAGAAGGCAATTATTTCACTATTGGCACCTCTCCTCTACTGCACTTCTGTGTCTCTTTCAGTATTTATTCATCAATTTATATCTTATCCTTCCCCTCCTGCCCCCCAGAAGCCTAGTAGTGGAGACAGAAAGAAGCCTTCAAAGTACAAGCATAGGAACTCTTTCAAAAGCCAAAAAGTAATTCAAAGTCAGCACCATACCATCAAACCAGTCAATGGCAGCCTTTGCAGAGGGGGGATCGTCAAAGGAAACAGTCGCCTCTCCTTTCAGTTTTCCTGTCTCGCGATCGGTGTACAGGTTGATCATAGGCTGTCCTGTTTTCTTGTTTGTCTGTTTACAAAAAAAATGTACAAGATCAATCTACTGTAAAGATCTAATCCAATGTTCTTGCATCTAATTTTCAATACATGACAGGTGCAGACTACAACTGTTTAGGGAGCTGCAATTGATGTGCAATACTACTGCATGGAAATTACCTTTAAATGTGAAAGGTAACTTGCTTTAGCCGCTGAACATTTGCCTATATAGCCCTGAAAATAATTAAAAGGTTAATGAATGTGCTCATGAGGTTCCAGGCAGATTACTGCTGCCATCATGAATTCTCCCTTGGAGTGTAAAGACATCGCACAAAAGGTTTGTCTACCCATTAGTCTCTGAAAGTAGGTAGGGCCAAAGCAGTGTAGATTTGATTTAAATCAAATCAATTTGTCAGTAAGGCTTGATTTAAATCATTTTTTTTACAGAAAGACTCATTCTTACTGGTATAATCTTAATATTTACAACCAGATGAAGGTTTCATTTTTTGAGTAATAAATTTTCATAGTAGTTTTTAGTTCTATCAAAAATTACTGATTTGGTTATACTATTAGAAATACATAGACAGATAATTGAGGTTTAACAAGTTAACTGTTTATATTTTGACAACTTTTCTGCTGTACCTTATTGGAAGGAGAAAAATAATCATTTCCTGAATAACAATTTAAACAATTTATTTAACTAAAACAATAACATTATAGCATATGTATACATGTTTGTTAACTGATGTGGTTAAACTATTAAAAAAACCCACCTTAGACTGAGCTTTAGCACACATGAAAAACTTAAAACTAATCCTTATTTCCTGATGAATAGCTTTTGGACTATAATGTGATTTAAACTATCTTTAGAAAGATTTTTCCTCCAAAAACATTTTATTTTAAAAATCCAATTTTTAAAAAATTCGATTAATGCATCCTACCTAGTGCAGGCTTTTTGCACAGCTCAGACCATTCAGTGTTTTGTGATTCTACTTTCCAACAGCAATTCCACTAGTAGCTGCTTTTTTCTAGCCAGCTCAGTCTCTCAACCAGCCCTTCGAGCTCTCATTACCCACTAGCACACTGCGCACTTTACAACCAAACAGTATAGTGCAACCTACAAAATGCAGCCTTATTGGTAATGGGATCATCTCACAGGCATAACTAGCACAATTTACCTTTATGATGCCAATCTGCTTGAAGTAATCTGCTACCGACTCAATGGTTACATTTTCACCAAGTCCCTGAACAAAGATGGTGTTGTTGTCTGAGTTATCCTGCTCGCCAGCTGCAAGGAATGAGAATTAGCTCTATCTTCCATCATAATTTCTGCTTCCCAATAAAGTTCTTCCTACAGCCTCTAAATGAAAGTTCCAAACTTGTACTCCAATAGATACTGAACCACATGAAGCAATTTTCCAAACTGAGACAAAACTTGGGTTACACTGTCCAAAGACCTCAGTTGAATAGAACTCAAATCTGCACAATTCATTTATTTTGCAGTTTACAAAGTTTGTGGGTTTTTAAAAGGCAACTTGATTACATGACTCTGCTGTTCACAGTAATACCAAAAAAAAAAAAAAAAAAAAAAAAGGTTTGAAGTGTAGAAAAGCAGTCTAAGGACACCATAGGCTTCTCTGGTTTTCCTTTGACATTTTTACCCCTCTCTTCAAAGTGGAAGCCTGGAAATACTTTCCCACTGGCCTCACATTCAGGTTTGCAGCCACTTAC